ATGACAAGGGAGTGATTTGAGCTATTCGTTTTAATATTAGCATTAAAATCTTAAGCTAATATGTTAACAGTATTTAAATCTTGTCTTCTATAAAGGAAATGACACAAATTAGTTTATGCTGTGTTTTTTTTTTCCCTGAAGCGACAAGATTCTTTACCAACTCCAACATCCACTTTCATCCAAACTCAATTCTTTTCAACATTACAGATCTTGGACTTGAAGAGTGTATAGAGCATGTATGGCCGGATACAGTCATATATCTTGATGACAAGGATCCTGTTCTTATTGGTCGTGCATATGGACGTGTTAGCAGGCATTTGCTCCACGAGGAGCTGCTTAAAAAGTAAGCATGGATATTTGGTACGATGACTAATTCATACATTTGAATTTTATATAATTTATTAATTTCTGTAGGTGTATCAAGTCAGGTGTTTCTTATCTCAACTCCAGAGTGGACAGCATTATTGAAACAACCTCTGGCCATAGCCTTCTTGCCTGTGAACACGATATTTTTGTCCCATGCAGGTAAAATGGAATTCTTTTATTTACATGGGATGAGCCTCATTATGAAGTATTTTAGGTTGCTTATATTAACTTATTTTCCTTTTTTCAAATATTTAAAATTGTATTGTAGACTCGCAACAGTTGCATCAGGAGCAGCTTCAGGTAAACTGCTGCAGTATGAGGTGGGCGGCCCAAAGGTGTCTGTCCAAACTGCTTACGGTGTAGAGGTTGAGGTAGGAAGGAGAGTTCCTCTGTTTTTTCTTCTTTTCTTTCTTCGTACAGACGACTTATTTAAGATCTAAAAAAGTCGTTAAAGTCCATGGTTATATATGATAACAATGGCTGAGTTTGCTTCTCATTATTAGAACTGTATAAACTCTCCAAAATGTTGAGGATCGTTATCGTTCACATTGGCTAATTAAGAAGAAGATTATGGGTATATAAGGGAGGGACACTATCTCCATGAGTACGAGACGTTTTGAAAAAACTAAAAAAAAAAAAAAAAAAAAAAATCATGAGAACTACGGAAGATATCTATTACGATTTATCATATGTATCATATTTGACCCTTGATTATAAGATATTTAACCTTTTCAAGAGGTTGTTCTCAAAGTGGACAATATCATGCTCGTGTGGAGGGCTATTGGTGTGGGTCCTTATCTGGTGTCAGAGCTATGCCATTATCTTTACTTAACCATGTTAATAGAATCTCAAGTGTCGAACAAAAAAGTTACGAGTCTCAAATGTGTAGTTACAATGACTTAGGTATCGGACAAATGGTGTACTTTGTTCGAGGGCTCCAGAGAAAGAGTTGAGCCTCAATTAAGGGAAGATTGTTTGAGGGTTCCAAAGGAGGCCTCAAGGAGACTCTATGGTATATTTTATTTGAGGGAAAGATTGGAGGATTGGAGACTCTATGATATACTTTATTTGAAGGAAACCAAAAGTAAAGTCACGAGAGTTTGTGCTCAAAGTGGACAATATCATACCAATGTGTGTGGTTACTCAATACTTTTAAGAATATATACCATATAAAATATACCGTAACTTATTAGTATGAAACAAGATTTGTGATTACCATGGTATTAAAACAAGATTTCGTGAGATCACACTCATGCATGCTGCTTTTTTTTCTTATTCATTGTAAAAGTTCTGGTAGTCATTATCAAGTTGTTTTTATTCAACACCAATTTAGAATTACACTTTAGTTGTACCAAACCATTGTTTGTAATTCCCGATATTGCTCTCCAGTGCTATTTCCTCAACGAACTAATGCTTTGTTCTAACATGGAATTTTGTTCTGTGTTGATAACCATCGTGTTCATCTACATGATCCTTTCAGGTGGAAAACAATCCTTATGATCCACGTCTTATGGTTTTTATGGACTACAGGGACTACTCAAAGCAAGAAAACTCATCTATGGAAGCACAATATCCTACATTTCTTTATGCCATGCCCATGACTCCGACAAAAGTTTTCTTTGAGGTCTGCACCGATTTTATTAATTTATCTTCGTATTATATTAATTTTCTCAAAATTATATAGAGATTACACTTGGAAATGGAAAATTTGCAGGAAACTTGTTTAGCTTCAAAAGAAGCTATGCCATTTGATCTTTTAAAGAAAAAACTTATGTCAAGATTAAAGACTATGGGGATCCGAATTGTGAAAACTTATGAAGAGGTACTCTTCGCTAACGATGTTTATTGCCTTTATAGCATGTTATTACTATTTGTTCGATCCCTCCTTATCTCCTTCAGAACTGTGGCATGGGTGTTCGCGTGTCCGTCTGTCTTTCCCCTCCTTTCTTTCTTCCCATTAATAGTGAGTCAATTAGGTAGTATGCTGAGGGAGTCAACCTTACCTAATTGAGAGAAAGATCCTACGTAAGGAACACTATCTCCATATCTCCATTTGTATGAAGCCTTTTGGAGAAGCCAAAAGCAAAATCATTATTGTGAAGGTCCGTGATTCCTAACCACTGGTATTAGAGGCATGCCCTTAACATAGTCATGTCAATAATATCCTCAAATGTCGAGCAAAGAGTGTTCTAAGCCTTGAAGGTGTAGTCAAAAGTGACTCAAGTGTTGAATAAAGAGTGTACTTTGTTCGAGAACTCTAGAGAAAGGAGTCGAGCCTCAATTAAGGAGAGGTTGTTCGAGGACTCCATAGGCCTCAGGGGAAGCTCTATGGTGTACTTTGTTCGAGGGGAGGGAGAGGATTGTTGAGGATTACTGGGAGAGAGTCCCACATTTGCTAATTAAGAGAAAGATCAAGTAAGGAACACTATTTCCATTGGTATGAGACCACTATTTTCAATGGTACGAGACTTTTTGGAAAAACCAAAAGCAGGAGAGTTTATGTTAAAAAAATCAAATCCGATTTCTTCAGAATTATGCGTGGCGTGAAACTCTCCTCTTTCATTAAATCCCAACACTTAGTTGCCTATCTCATATGCCATCAGTTCTATTCTTGCATTTCAAATCATCAAATTTTGTACACCTGGTTTCTTGTCAGTTCTTATATAAACCAGTAGAAGAATGAAAAGGACACAATCCTTCCATGTAGGAATGGTCATATATTCCAGTTGGTGGATCCTTGCCAAACACAGAGCAGAAAAACCTCGCATTTGGTGCAGCTGCCAGCATGGTGCATCCAGCCACAGGTATCAAAACGCAATCTAAACATCTATCTTAATGAATTATCAATATAAGAAATCTTATATACTTCATTATTCATCAAGCAGGTTATTCAGTTGTTAGATCTCTGTCTGAGGCTCCAAAATATGCTTCTGTCATTGCAAGAGTTTTGAAGCGAGGACAGCTAAAAGATGGCCTTGCTAATGGAAGAACCTATGGGAATATCTCAATGCAGGGTGAGCCAGTTTTGTGTTTAGATCTATTTCAAGGAGTCTATTTTACTCTGTGCATACACCTTGTAAGTAATTTTCAATGCTTATTAATTTATCTTCTGTTCCAGCTTGGAACACTCTTTGGCCACAAGAAAGGAAGCGCCAGAGAGCTTTTTTCCTCTTTGGGCTTGCACTGATTGTTCAATTGGATATCGAGGGCATTCGAACATTTTTCCGCACTTTCTTCCAATTGCCAGATTGGTACGATCAATTTCCTCCTAAGATGATGACATCAAAATTTACTTCTGTAATCTGATATTCTGGCGAATATACTTGTTGTGATGAGAAGTATTTTGAGCGTAGTTTCCTGTCTACTCTTTTAAGATATTGTCCTATTTGAGTTTTCCTTTTCGAGCTTTCCCTAAAAAAGTTTTAAAACGCTTCTGCTAGGGAGATGTTTCTACACCTTTATAAAGGGTGTTTTGTTCTTCTCCTCAACCGATGTGGGATCTCACGAGTATATTAGTGGCCGGATTATTTTAATAATCTCCATCATCGATCAACTGAATGCGAGGTTGTATACTCATTATTTTTCTTATAACTTGCAGGATGTGGCAGGGATTTCTTGGGTCTACTTTATCTTCAGCAGACCTTGCACTTTTTGCGTTGTATATGTTCGTCCTTGCTCCAAATGATCTAAGAATGTGCCTCGTCAAACATCTTGTTTCTGATCCTACTGGAGCAACCATGATAAGAACATATCTCACAGTTTCTTGAATTTTCTCCTAAGATCTTGTTCCTCTATTGTAAGAACAATGTTTAGATTACACGAGAAGCCTGTCAGGTATTTTCATTCCTTCTTTCTTTATATGTCTCTTACTGGAGCTTGTTCTTTCTTTATATGTCTCTTACTGGAGCTTGTTATATGTAGTGTACACATTCAATATTCTCTTCCATTTCTATGCTCTCATCAAATTTTACTCTTATTGAATGTTGTTAAGGCTATGTGTTCTATCTGTGCCATAGAGTTGGCTAACCCCATGGTTTGGACCATCTAGCCTTGTCACGCTCGTGAATCTATTGAACGACTTCACTCCAATTCTCTTTGGTCTATTAAGTCAATACACAATTGATGTACGAGTCTGGAGTGCTCTCATCAAAACTCGAATTGTAAGGTAGATAACAACCGCACTATTTTGGTCTTAATTATTATGTTTTTTTTCCATTTGAGAAAAAAAAATTCATTTAAATTTGTTTGGATTATTATGGATAAATTGGCAAAATTGATGAATAAACTAAGCTAAACTAATAAAAAAATCCTTAAAATTTTCATTTGGTCTAAAAATAACTTTTAACTTAAAAAAATTTCAATAATATCTTAAAATTAAAAAAATATCTTTTATTATTTAAGAGGAAAATTTTAAAAGTTTAAGATATTATATTGTTTATGGTTTAAGAATTAGATATTTATGAGATAAAATATGTATTTTTATTGATTTTACTCAATAATAAACAATATGAGATTATTTTTAAGTGATATTAATGGGTGTCGACATATATTTTAAATGGGCGTGTCGACATCATGATGTAATTATAATATTGGTGAAGTACACAATACACTATAAAACAAACTTAAATGCTAATAACAAATTTCATTGAAAATAAAAAATTCAAGACGCAGCTTCAGCTACAGGAAATCGGTCCGCCCGTGTCAAGGAGACGGATTAAGAAGTGGCAACCATGGACTCCGACGTGACGATGGTTCCGGTCGGCGAGGCTTCGAGCAGTGCCGGTCCTTCGTCTACCAAGAAACCCAAGCGTTTTGAGATCAAAAAGTGGAACGCCGTCGCTCTATGGGCATGGGGTAATTACGGAACCCTAATCTTTAGCCCTTCACACGGCGTTGCTATTACTGCTCTCACTCTCCCGTTTGCCTTCTTACATCGGAATCCTCCTCTCTAATTTTTGTGTTATTCATTTCTTAATTCAGATATCGTTGTCGATAACTGTGCGATCTGCAGAAATCATATCATGGATCTTTGTAAGTTTATCATCATTTGATCAAGTTCTAAGATATCTGGAATGATCTTCCTCTTAATTTTCTATATTATTTGTATTTTCTTTAGCCATTCACCATTGTTTGTTATGTAGGCATCGAGTGCCAAGCAAACCAGGCAAGCGCAACCAGCGAGGAATGTACTGTGGCTTGGGGTACGTTTTTTTTTTTTATAAAAACATTTCCTCTCCCTATCCCCAATCCATTCACGCAGACACAATGTGCTATTATTTTCTACCTCACAACTTACGGATACTGAGGTGGATGATTGGGCCTCTATGCTGAATATTTAAAGCCATGTCATATTTTCTAATTAGGAGGATGTCGAAGTGCGTTCCCTTCATATTAATGGTTGCTTTTCTGTCAATTCCTCAGACCTTTAGCTTGTTTGTTAACATAGCCATACTGACCTAATCCGTAGTAAGCTAACCTGGGAGGCTAAAATTCTGAAAAAGTGAGAAGCGTTCCGAATGGCTGGTGATGTATCCTGTGCAGGAAAGACAAGAGAGCCATTTCATGTTTTTGTCCACTGCCCATTTTCTGCCGCTATTTGTTGAGCTAAGCATTGTAATGTATTTGGTATGAGTTGATGCTCCCGTAAGACCTCTGAGAATTACTGCCATCCAACTGTTAGGGCACAATCTAAAGGTCAAGTTATAATCAGAGACTTTCTAAGGGGGTTGATTCTAGCTCGGAGAGCTTTTGGGACCTCAGGAAACTCTATTAAGAACTGAACTTATTATTTAACTTAAAAAGATTGCCTTTTGGACTGATTGATTATTACTCTATCCAACTTACAGTATGCAACATTATTTTGCAATTTCCCTTGATGTGGAATTATAGCTGGAGCCAACGACTGATGATACCTGGTGTTGAATTTTTATATATTTGTAGGGGTGTGTAATCATGCATTTCATTTCCACTGTATCAGTAGATGGTTGAAGACGCGTCAAGTTTGCCCATTGGGTATGCATTTCACATTCTTGCCCAGCCTTTCAACCACAATTTCTTTTCTAAAAAAATGAATTTTGGTAATTGAAGAAAGCTTTGCCATTTTACAGATAATAGCGAGTGGGAATTTCAGAAGTACGGTCACTAGAACTTTGCTGCTGAGAATATGGATCCTTAAATTCTCATGGGTCTCTAATGTTGTCCCCGATGAACTTTCTCCATACATGGTTTCAGAAATTTGCGATTCGAAGATGCATTTTGTTGAGCAACTACAATTGTCCAGAGAATTATGTGATTTTATTTGGGAGTTGTTTGTAGAAATAGGCTAGCACTCGAACGTTAGTTCTTGTTTTACCGTTTACCATTTCTTTACTTGTATTTATGTTAACATTTCACTCGGTTCATCTGGAAAATTTGGATCTTATTGTTGCCTATTTGCTCTTCGATTCTTGTTTGTCTATCGGATATTCTTCTTCCCATAATATAATCGTGTTCTTCACCGAATGAATGCTTCTAAAGTGGTCTTACTTTAGAATGATTGTTGGCTGCTCTGAATGAAAAATACCAGTAGGCTGTAACGATGAGAAAATATAACATCATGGATTTGGTTGATATTCAGAACAGGTTAAAATTGTTATTTTGTTTTTCTTCTGAATATATTGCATGATGACTATGTTTTTCTTCTGAATTGTTAACTGGCACTTTTGTGTTGCTATCGAACTGTGCTGAGCTCTCTCAGTTTGTGCAGGCAAGGAGTTTGGGATGCCCATTCTTCTCACTTTGTTGCAGCCGGACGCACCAGTTTTTGCTGATTGCCCCGCACCTCACACAGTTAACAGTTGCTAAACTCCCAAATGGAAGAATCATTTTGATTCGGCCATCAACTTCCTCAGCAAACACTGTACCTTATTTTACATTCTTGGTGCTGCTCGAAGGTGGTTCCCCGAGAAATTTGGTTAAACGAGTCTGCCACCTGAAGAAAGCTAAAACTAAGGGACTGAGCAGTGGTGTCGGTCTCTGGCTAGCAACACAAGTGGCATGGATTACAGCAGCAGTTTCCAGTACAGCCACAGCAGTATTTGCATTCACAGCATGGGCATTCAGGGCATGAAGGTAATGAAAAATGGCAACATTGGCTGCATGAAATGATTGGGCAATAGCATGAGCATCGGAGTAGTGTTGGACATGGATTATTACAGCTACAGCAGCCGCATGATAGGCATTTACATGGATTATTACAGCTACAGCAGCCGCATGATAGGCATTTACATGGATTATTACAGCTACAGCAGCCGCATGATAGGCATTTACATGGATTATTACAGCTACAGCAGGGTGGGATTTCGAGATGGATCGAGCATCCAGCATAGCAGCAACAGCAAATCCACGACAACTTACAGCAGGGGAACCCACTGCATCAAGTGAGAATTAGCTTGATTATTCTTACACCACATCATCATGGAAGAAAAAGTAAGGTGAGAGTTACATACCAGAGCCATTTCCAAAATTGACATATGCGGCTATGCTTCTTATATCTGATTCAAAGAAGAAACATATAGCATGAATAGGCTGCAAAGAATTTTAGAAAATTAATGATGGGAAACCCCTTACGTTGTTATCAAGGGATCTGATTTGGCGACCACATAGTCAGCTACCCTGCAAAGTGTTCTTGTGCTAGATGAGCAGAAGATCTGGGAAGTAGAAGTTCAAAGTCTTTGGCAAATGAACTGGTGTACGTACTCTTTGCTGCATTGAGATGCAGGTTGAAGACCATCGGTAGACTTCAAGTCTTCCTGCCCCAGAGATATCGTGGAAGAAAAGCTTGTTATATTTTCATAATGAACCGGGGATAAGAGAAAGCAATGCAGGAATGAAACCCAAATGGTTATAGATTGAACATCAATGCCAATGGGATTTGTGTTGTGAGCAAAACTCAAATCTCACTGTTACCCCATTAGGCTGGGGTGGGATGCTTTTGCTTGGTGATGGAGAAAATTTGTAACTTTGAAGTTAATCTAAGACGAACCTTAGCTTGTTATTACGTCTGAAATGGATGTACGGGATCTAAAATGTGATTTGGTTTCAATTGCAGTTTCTTGAGGGTTACGAAAGAAAGGGCATTGGCGCATGCATTATAATAAGAAAAAGAAAAGGAAAAGCAGAGAGGTAAATGAAAAGAACCTGGAGAAAAGCAATCTCCCTCTGAAGCATCTGAACCTTGGCCGTTTGCCGGCGCTTTCCTTACAAATCTGGATACAGAGGAGGCGAGTTGGGGTAGGGGGGTGGGAGGGATGGAGAGGAAGGTGGGCGAGTAAGAGTAGTAGCCATTGGGGGAAATGGAAAAGAAGGGACAGAGAATAGTGTGTTTGTGTTGCTAGTTCTGGTTTTGGTACACAAGTACAGTGCAAATTAAGAAAAGAAGATAGACGCCCTGACAAGGACAGCTTCCACTGAGGCAAAACATAACAAGAACAAGGGTTTGTGCAATCCATGACAAGAACACGAATGCGATTCAGGGGAAAGAAGAGGTGAAAAAGGCAGGCTGCTCTCAAATGGGCTCTCATCCTCACTCCCCAAATCATTTTCTTATCATTAAACAGATTCGGACTCTGCCCAAACCAAATCACCACAAATAAACCCTCTTTCCCACTTTGTTACTCTTACCACTATATTTTCTTCTTCTTCTTCTTCTACTACGACTACAACTACTGCATTGAACTGTTTCCTCAAGCAAGCCGTTGAATTCTGACTTGACTGAAGGAAGAGATTTGGTTTTGATTTAGTGTCAGGCTTGAATGCAAATGGACCCAACCTTCAGATATATGAGCAAACGGCCATAACTCTGTGGGGTTGCCTCGCAGGAAGATGATCTTGAACTTGAAACTTGAGAAATTTGTGTCCTTATAATTTGTGTACTAAGAATTCCTTTGTTTCTAAGGAATTGAGAAAGAAAGGAATCAAACCTCAAAACGGCACGAAGTATAAAGATGGTAATCATAAAACTAGCTTCATCAGGGGAGGAATGCAGTGAAAAAGAAAAGAAACAGAGCAAGTGAGCAGGGCACAAATCCCAGAGGGATGGGACCTTCAAATTGAAATGGAAAAGAAGCACAGTTATTTTCTCTCTTGGGCACTAGTGGACTCTTGAAACTGCAGGTGGGGTTCACAATTACACCCCTCTTCCTTCCACCATCACCGTTCACCACACAGTCGCAGAGGGCAGACGGCAGAGTTTTTCTTTTCTTTCTTTAAAGCTCGAGGCAGAGGTACTGTTCCGCTTGTGGCTTCCTCTGCTCACGTGAGCTGCCTAAGCTTTTGCAATGATTCAGCCGTGCCTCTACGAGGAAATTTGATTTTTTTTTCCTTAAAGCATAGATTATGGATTAGTTTTACCTGTTTCATAAATTTACAAATTTGAAGTCACCAAACCCTTTCAAATATCTTGTTTATATCTGTGGCCACTGGCTATCAGGTTTCACCCGGTGGATCAGTTGTCATTCAAAAGTCACTCAGAGCTAATTACAAGGAAACAAGAAAAATGATAAGAGACCCTATCCATATCCAATTCCGCAAAATGTTTCCAAGTAAAAAGCCTAGAATTTTTAACAACCACATCCTCGTTCATCTTTCCAGCTACCCCTTGATAGTTGGCTGAAGAAAACAAGCAACAACTCAAAAGAAGACGTTCGGAGACCTTAGAAACTCGTTCTACAGTAATCTGGTCCTCTTTACTGGATCCTTTTCATCTCTGTTAATCGTGAGCCTTGGTGATTTATTTGATTGATTCGCCTTCTCTATTCTGCCATTAACAAATTCTGCAAAGGACGGAATTGGAGGCAAAGGAGGAGCAGCAGCAGCAGCATGGGAAGCATTTTGCTTTGACAAATTGCTTGCGGGGTTTTCCAATACAGGGCTGCAATGAACTTCTTCATTAGTCTTTTCTGACTTTGATAGATCTAACATAGGGGATGGAGATGGCAATGCAGGAAGTTCTGTATTCTCCTCAGCCCTAAGCCGACTGGTTAACTCCTTAGAATCTGCTGTCGACAGCCACCTCATGGTACTGGCCACTTGTGAATAATAGAATGATTTTCCTGTTCTTCCATATTTCTCGTAGCACTCATGCTCAAGGAAACAAGCATATCTTTCCACTTCAATCCTGCAAGAATTCCAATCAAGATACGTGGTTGTGGAAAAACTTAAGACCATGTATATGCTGCCAGAACTACCATCCATGTTACGAGCAAAGCATGCACGCACTTGTGTCTCAAAGGACTGAACTAGTTAGTTACCAAGAGAAATTACATGGAATAGTGTAACAGCAACTACATCACCGTTAGTCTTATTGATCTCGACCACCTATTTGAATTTAGTGGGTATGACACAAAATGAAAATCGGCCAAGTGATTATCCCAAGGAAATGAGCGTCTAAAGACAGAAGAGCAACTGGAATTATTAAAAGTTGTCATTGGAAAAAGAACGGTTAACTTACTTGGAGCTCCCAAGCCGTTGTTGAGCCTGTTCAATAGCATTCTCTAATCTTTTCCTGCTAGCTTCCCTAAATGATGCAGATACAACATTCTTGTCATGCTTATCATTCTGCCATGAAGTATCTAGTCCATCAGGAAAGACGCAAGCATAGTGGAAAACAAGTTCATGAATCCAACATGAATGGATAAATCCACTGTCAAGTAAAAATAACCCATCTAACCAACCCGAATTTTCAGTCTAAAGCGGTCCTTAGACCAAATGCATGGTTTAGGTTTTCGATTTCTAAACTCCCGCCCCATTGTAATATCAAAGGGAAAAAGAAACCATCAAGACAAACCTGTTTAACTGAGATCTTGTTCTGGTAGTAATTTTCCTCCGCACGCTCTAGAAGTGCTATCTTTTCATTTAGTCCTGATTTCTTTAGAGACTTCGTTCCAGCTAGGCTTTTGACAACCTCGGTATCATCTGGCAATATGGGGAAAATGAGAATAAAAAAAACACAGTTACAAGAAAATACTCGAATTCAACCCCAGCACATAATGTATACAACCAAAAATTAAGCTACGTGGCTGGAAGTGAGGGAGAGAAGTCAAGTCCATTCAAATGATTTGTACCATCAGAATCAGATATATCTTCACCAGATCCACTTGCTTCATCTTTGCGATTCCAAAATTCAGAAAACTCTTTCTCATCATTCATATTTGAGCTGATTTTAAACAAAAAAACAAAAAAAACTATGAGTCAGTGGCAGTGGGCATGACTAGTGGTTAAGACATCAACCCTTTTCTTTGAAGTCCGAAGTTCATATCCCCATCCCTACTTAAAAAGAATTATGAGTTGGTAACTAAATCAAATATGTGGCCTCTAAGATTTACAGCTACCCTTTTCAATAATAAAATTTAAAAGAATTTAGAGCCTTTTAAGTCAAGCACCTGCTGACAAAAATTCTAGAAGATGAATTATTTCGTCCAACAGCACAAGTTGTAGTAAGCTCTTCCAAATAGGCAGCGACA